CTTCCCCCGCCCCCGCCCCGCCGTGGCCTTTAGCTTATTCAGAGTACAGATCCCCCGTTGCCTGCACGACCCTGAGACCTCTGCCCTGCCCCCGGGACTTTCCACTCTGATGACCTCTGCCTCTTGCTCGCTCTTCCCTCGCCGCAGTTCGCCTCCTTGCTCTTCTGTAGCAACCATCACCATGATCAATTTCATTTATTCATTTTTATTGTTATTATTTTTATAGATTTTATTTTTTGAGTAATCTCTAGACCCCACGTGGGGCTCGAATTCACAGCCCCGAGATCAAGGGTCGAGTGCTCCCCGCCTGCGCCGGCCGGGCGTGCTCACCCTGATCGGGTTTAGAACATGTCATCCATCCAGAAGGAAGCCCTGTGCCCCGTGGGGGTCACTGCCCGTTTCCCCGCAGCCACTCTACTTTTTGTCTCTGGGTGTGGCTACCTCAACCGTTTCATATAAATAAATTCTACAACATGTGGCTTTTCGGTCTGGCGTCTTTCATGTAGCATCATGTTTTTAACGTTTATCTGTGTCTCAGAACTTCATTTTTTTTTTTAATGGCCACAGCTCTTCTGTCGTGGATACGCCACATTCTGTCATTAATTCACCACTTGGTGGATTGTTTCTACTTTTGGGCTGTTGGGGGTGATGCTGTGAGCTTCTCGTGCAAGTTCTGGTGAGAACTAGGTTCTCCGGTCTCTTGGGCGTGTCCCCGGGCGTGGAAGTGCTGGGTCGTGTGCTGTGTGACCTTCGGAGTAGCTGCCAGAATGTTCCAAAGTGGCTGCACCATCTTACGACCCCGTCAGCAGGGTATGCGGATAGGAATGCGTCTTGCTTCCACTTTGCTCAAATGGCGTCTTTAGGGAGGGTTCCTGTGCCTGCTCCGCGTGAAACACGATCTCCCTCCCCTGCGCCAGGCCCTCGCTCCTTCCTGAGTCTGCTGTATTCCGCCCCACGGCACTTAGCGCATCCCACACACTGTTTCGTGTTTGGTCGTTTGTTTATTTTCTGCCTCCTCTACCTGGAATACAAGCTCCCCGGCACCTACAGCAATGTCCCAGGTGAGGTCGACGTTGACTAAACACTGACTGAATAAGTGAATAAACATTACCCCTCATGAGAGGAGCGACCTTGTTTATTTTGTCCAGCTCTGGATTCCTTCATCTGACTCCACGTGTCTGTCAGGAGAATGAGTGATGAGCCCGGTTAGGGAGGTCCAGGGGCCACGAGAGGAGCGTGGCCTTTTGGGGGGAGGGCTGCGGAGGAAACCTATCTCGGCCCCTGGAATGTGAGGGAAGGAGGCTCTGGCTGACTGGGTGTGTGTTGACATTGGTTAACGGCTTTCGGGGAGCCGGGAACGGGACGAGGAGGGCTTGGGGTGAAGGAAGAGGGTAACAGACGAGGTCCATCCAGCAGGCGTGTGTGGGATCTGCGCTGGGCGCCGTCCAGGGACACCGAGCTGAGGGAGGCGCATTGCTGGGCTGAGTTGGGCTGTCCTGCGGGGCGCTAACCTGCTGGGTGGGAGGTGGGAGAAGGGGTGAGGCAGGACGGGCCTGGAGGAAGGCCCGAGGCACAGGCTTCTGTGTGTCAGCTGCTGAAAATGGGGCCTCGGGCTCAGAGGAGGTATGACGTCAGGAGCGGCTTCGTAGGTGAGGGCAGGGAAGGGCCAGAGAAGCGCTCCCCTGTTGTTAGCGTCCTAATCCTGACTCGCTTCCCTGTTTGCTCCCCCAGAACCTGTCAGCCGTCGGGGCGTTGGTGGGTCTCAGTAATGCACGGCTCGGTTCCATCAAAACCCGGTGAGTCTTTAAGCCTCTTTTTTCTCCAGGGGGATGTTTCCTTAAGCGGGCTGTCCATTTGTCTGTCCATCCATTGTCACCACCCTGTGGGCTCAAAGAGACTTCTCCATTGAGAGGGTGGAGCGTTTCCTTCTTTTCCTGGGCCCCCCTGGGGTGAGCCCCGCCTATTCTGGCCTCCGGGTTGTCCCACCTGGGATCAGCTCTGGTCCTTGCTTCCTTGCTGCCCACACCTCACCCCGAGCCCTCCAGGCGTTTTGGGAGTTAGAAAGCACCGAGGGTCTGGAGGTGGCGTCTGCTCTGGCCCCGTGAGCGTCCCAGCGCGGTGACCAGCGTTCTCGGGAGCATGGCAGCCGCTGCGGATCGTCACTGGATGCTTCCTTGTCAGGTTTGAGGGCCTGTGTCTGCTGTCCCTGCTGGTGGGGGAGAGCCCCACGGAGATGTTCCAGCAGCACTGCGTGTCCTGGCTCCGGAGCATTCAGCAGGTCCTGCAGGTAAGGGTTCTTACCCCCAGCCCCGCCGCCATGCCTCAGGCCCCGGCCGCACATGTCCCCGGCCCGCGCATGTCCCCGGCCTGGACACCGAGTCCTGAGGACCGAGGCAGCGCCCTGACAGCAGGGAGCAGAGCGTGAGCTTCAAACACGGCTGTAAACTTTTTGATGTTTTTATCCAGGGGGTAATTTTAATTCATTTGATCTTTCACATACTGCAACCACTGACCGATTTCACTTCCTCGCTAGCTTTTCTAACATGCAACATCTCGAAAGTTCCTTTCTCCAGGTATTTTATTTTTATTTATTGTTTTTTTTTTTTTCTGCTCCCTTCTTTCTCTTTTAACATTTTCAGATTTTTCAGCTCTTACATGCTTTGATGATCTCCCCACGTAGCTCTTCAGCAAGCACATTCTGAGCACAGGGGGCTGAGTGCTAAGCTCTGGGGGGACAGTGGTCAGGTGACCCTGGACCCCACTGGCGTGGGCTCGGAGTCCAGCGCGGGGGGTTGGAGAATTTCCCATGAAGTAAATGTTTACAGATAGTAAATTAAAAAAAAAAAACGATTTTATTCAGGAAATACACCATGTAAACCATCTCCTAATGGTTCATTCCAGTAGCTGGTATTCACATTTTCAGAGGATGTATTTGGAGCAGATCAATAAATTGTACTTATGGGCACCTGGGTGGCTCAGTCGTTAAGCGTCTGCCTTCGGCTCACGTCATGGTCCCAGGGTCCTGCGATCGAGCCCCGCATCGGGCTCCCTGCTCGGCGGAAGGCCTGCTTCTCCCTCTCCCACTCCCCCTGGTTGTGTTCCCTCTCTCGCTGTGTCTCTCTCTGTCAAATAAATAAATAAAATCTTAAAAAAAAAGAAAGAAAGAAAGGGGTGGGAAACGCTGGAGGAGGTGCCGACTTGGGACAAGGGAGATCATCATTTTGGGTTCCTGAAGACAAGAAAGGAAGGTCTGGAGCTCAGAGAGGCTTTGGCTGTCAAACACTTTGGAAGCATTTATATAATCATATCTACCCTAAAAGTTTAAGATGTAATCATCAACCAAAGATATTAAAAGATGTGAGGATAGGGTGCCTGGGTGGCTCCGTTGATTAAGTGTCTGCCTTCGGCTCGGGTCATGGTCTCATGGTCTTTAGTGTCTCAGTGTCTCAGGGTCCTGGGATCGAGCCCCACATTGGGCTCCCTGCTCGGCGGGAAGCCTGCTTCTCCCTCTCCCACTCCCCCTGCTTGTGTTCCCTCTCTCGCTGTGTCTTTCTCTGTCAAATAAATAAAATCTTTGACAAAAATAAATAAATAGTACTTATGTGGCAGCCCATTGTAGAAATCCATAAATCCACGTATCGGAGTGAAAGATGTTTTTCTTCCATAGTTACTCTGTTGTAGTTTTTCTGTTTTAATTTTCACCTGCAATCAGAGCATTTTAATTCTCTATATTGCTCTTGCAATTTATTGTTCTTTATTTACATAGTTGTAAACGTATGTGGCAGTGTTCAGATCTCATTCAGTTTTAATCAGCCTCTGAGTTTTTAAACTCCTGGAAACTTTTTCAGATAGTTATACTAGGTAGGTGCTGAACACCTCAACATACTCAGAATTCTGTCTATTCAGAAATTCTCTAAATCATGCTGCTGACCATGTGACTCCTTTTATTTCCCCTGCAACAAAATAATCTGAAGGTAGTTTTCTATCCTATCTTTGGCCAAACTTTTCTTTAGGAAAATTTTTATTGTTAAAGTGCAGCTGGCCGTGCAATGTTATCTTAGTTTCAGGCTTGAGGGTTCTCCGTGTTCTGCTCCGGGATACAGATAGGAAATGTTTTCGGCTTTGCAAACCGCATATGGTTTCTGTTGCATTTTGTTTCTTTTTTTCTTTTCTAGCCCTTTAAAAATGTAAAACTCATTTCTAGTTTGTGGGCCATACAAAAACAGGCACCCACAGACTGTACCGTTTGCCGATCCCGTTTCTAGCAGAAGAGACTTCACTAGAATAAGCGTACGGTGGGGCGCCTGGCCGGCTTTGTCGGTAACTCTCAACCTCAGGTGGTGATTTTCCAGCTCAGGTCGGGCGTGGAGCCTGCTTACAAACAGAAGAAGGAGGCGCAGCGGGTTGAAGTGGCACCGCAGCAGGTGCCGTGGGGGTAAAGAGCGCAGTTCCCTGAGAAGACATACCAGAGAACCCAAGTCAGACTGGACCGCTCTGGGCCGCTGGTCCAGGGAAGGCCTTTCCGAGCCGATTGGGCTAAGAACGTGTTGGAAGTGTGCAAAAGCCCTGAGAGAGGAGGAGTTTGGCCCATTTGGAGAATTATAAGCAAGCTGGTGTGGCTGAGTGGGGTCGATGAAATGTGACTGGAGTAGGGGGGAGAGAAATGTGATTGGAGTGGGGACCAAACCACATGTGGTGGCCTGGGCATGTTAGGGAGCTTGGTTTTTATTCTTAGAACACTTGGAATTCGTGGGAGGTGTGTCTTTTTTTTTAAGATTTTATTTATTAGAGAGAGCACAAGAAGGTGGAGGGGCAGGCAGAGGGAGAGGGAGAAGCAGACTCCCTGCCAAGCAGGGAGCCCGATGCGGGGCTCGATCCCAGGACCCCGGGATCATGACCTGAGCTGAAGGCAGACGCTCAACCGACTGAGCCACCCAGGCGTCCCTCATGGAACGTTTTGAGTAGGGGTGAGGAGGAGGAGGAGGTGGTGGTGGTGACGTGATCAGATTTTCGTTTGAAAGTACTACCTTGGCCGCTGTGTGGAGAAGGGACTAGAAAGCCAGATTGGAGGCAGAAATGAGGAGAAGTTGATTGAGTTCAGGAGAGGGTTAGAGGCGAAGTGGGCAGGTCCCGGTGGTGGGACAGGCGTGTCCAGGATGACTCCGGATTTCAGAGCACCCGACGGCCAGGCCCAGAGGGGAGGGGTGGCAGCGCGGGTACTAACGTGGACCGGATGTGCCGACACGCCCCCTTACACGGCCAGGTAGGGGAGGGGGAGCTGAGAGAGGATGCGCCGCAGACGGGATAGCAGGGCTGTGGGGTGGGTGCGCGGAGGCAAGAGGCGGGACCCGTCTGTTTCTGCCGCTCGGAGGTGGAGCGAGGTGCGGATGGAATCCTGTTTCAGATTTAGCAGCTCAAGGGTTGGGAGAAGGCGGAGCTCGGGAGAATGAACGGAAGTGGGGAAGCCGGACAATCCAGATGTTGGGCCTCACAGGGGGCGGGGCTCGGGAAGGGTGTTTACGGAGGGGGCGCTTGCGTGCGGAGGACTCTGAGGGTCTAGCTGGACGTGCGGGACAGGCGCTGGGTGACAGGATGGAGGGAGGGTGGTGAGAACGGAGGGGGCGGTGTCAGGCTTGGCCGGGACTCCTGCCCGTCCCTGCGCTTCTGTGAAGGTCGCAGCGGGGGGAGAAGGTGTGAGTGGAGGGGCTGGTTAACGGGACCGAAATGCAGGGGGGATACTGGGCAGTGTTGGAGGGCCCTCCATTCTTATTTTTTAATTTATTTTTTATTTTTCTAATTTAAATTCGATTAGTCAACATATAGTACATCGTGAGTTCCAGATGGAGCGTTCAGCAGTTCATCAGCTGCACGTAACACCCAGTGCTGATCACATCACGTGCCCTCCTCCACGCCCAGCACCCAGTTGCCCCCTCCCCGCCCCCGTTCTTACTTTCTTGCTAAGTGTTCCTACTCATCTTGTACCTGCGGCCTCGGGTCTAGTGGGAGACAGGTGCCGACTCTCTTTCCCGTAGTACGTGTTAATTTTCCAGGGAAGTCCTAAATCCAGACTGTTTCTTTCTCCACGAGTCCAGGACAGGTATGAGCCAGGCCGAAGCCCGCTTGGCGACACGGGGCGGTTTTGTTGTGGCTGAGGCTGTCCTCAGGGCGAGAAGTGCTCTCCTCCATTCCCAGCAGGGAAGCGCAGTCGGGGGAGCCAGAAACTCGACATCTTCCCATTAGTCAGATCTGTAAGGCCTGGCTTTGTTTCTTTCCTCTCGGAACACATTTCAAGGCCCCAGATGCCCGTGATACTAAAGTGCAGACCCGCATCCTTTCTGTAGACAAACACGCCACGTTGGGGTTCCCCGTGTCCCTAGTGGGTTCGGGGCAACGGTGACGTAACTGGTGTTTCTCAGCAGCCCTGTGTGTCCTGCCTCCCGTGCCGCCCTGCCTCTTGGCGACCGCGACGGCGAGCTCAGGCGCATGGGTGTCGTTTCCGTTAGTCCCAGGACCCGCCCCCCACGATGGAGCTGGCTGTGGCCGTCCTGAGGGACCTGCTCCGCTACGCGGCCCAGCTGCCCACGCTCTTCCGGGACATCTCCATGAACCACCTCCCCGGCCTCCTCACCTCCCTGCTGGGCCTCAGGCCGGAGGTGAGAGCCCTCCCGGCCCCCCACCCTCCAGCGGGTTACAGTGCAGGGAGCAGGGGGGAGCGGGGAGGGGAGGGAGGGAGAGCCAAGGACGGTGTGTGAGGGGTGGTGGCCTGCGCCGGGGGGCTGGGGGCTTTGGGCTCTGCGCCTCGGCCTGACTTTCTCTTTTGCCCACAGTGTGAGCTCTCAGCGCTGGAGGGAATGAAGGCCTGCATGACCTACTTTCCTCGGGCCTGTGGGTCTCTCAAAGTAAGTATGCACCCACAGTCCTCTTCCACCCGCGTAACCCTCGCTGTCTTAGCTCAGACCCCGCAGCGGAGGATTCTGAGCCCCTCTCCGCTGAGCGCACGGTCACCTGACTCCGCAGATGGGACCGCGCCACCTCGTAGCCCTTCCTGCTCACAGATAAACCAACTTGCCTGAGATCGGTAAAGATCGGAACCCGGGTCTGCTGCCGAAGCCGGGACTCCTTCCCCTTTCTGCCCTGCCCGTTTTCCTCCGATCCTCTTTCACTTGGTGCCTACAGCTCTTGCTGTTTCCTCCAGGAAGCCTTTCGGACTTACTTCTTCCCTGTATTAACGCGTATTCCGGACTAAACTCTCTCCGTCATGACCCGTACGAGGGTTTTTTTGTTTTGTTTTTCTAACGAAAGTTTTACTGAGTTCCGTCAACTCTGCCTTTCTTCTAAAATGCTCTGTAAATGAACCGCTCGGATGATGCAGGCTGGGTCTTTGTGCCCGAGCCCGCTCTGGTCAGAGGAGGGAGGTGTTACTGCAGGGCTCTGTTGGTCCAGCTCCGAGTGGGTGTATCTGTGTCTGCCTGCACCCCCTGCCCCCCACCTGTGAGACGCAGGGAGAAACTGTCACTGCCCGGCCAGGATTCAAATAGTCGGGGACTCTGGGATGTCCAATGTTTCCTGCACTGGTGTCTCTTCATGGTCCCTGTGAGTGTGGAGAATTCGTCCGTAAGTTTCTGAAGTTTGGGCCAGAAGTTTGAGGGCCCTTTCCAGAGCTAACAGGACTTCATATGTCGTTAGAGGGCGTGTGTGCCTTTATTTTGCTGAGAATAGAGTGTCCTCTGGAGAACGGCCCTCTGCTGAGGGTTTTGGTTTCGTCGGCTGCCGGCATGTCGGGCAGGAATCTACAAGGCTCCCGGGGCGGTTTGTACTTGGAGGACCTTGCAGCCGGGACTGAGGAATGGATACGTGCCATTGGAGTGTCTGTCTGTCCTCTGGCTCGTCCCTGGAAGCTCCCAGGGCAGCGGTGGTCTCCCGGTCCGGGATGCTGCCCCTCTGGTGTTCTGAGGCTGTGCAGTCAGCCCCGCAGGGGCTCTGCCTCTCCTCGCCAAGGTGACGAGTGGTTCCGTGCACTGGGACATGTGGGACATGCCCTGGGGCTGTGTGCGCGCGCGTGCCCGCTCTTCAGGTGGAATGTCCTGCGTGAGCCCTTGCTTCGGTGTGTCCTGTGGGTCGTCAGGGCCGTGTCAGCAAGCTGAGCTTTATCGTGCTCACGGGTGCAGCCTTCCGTGAGCCTCAGCCCGCTCTGCGCCGCAGTCTGGTGGGGGGGGACCGTGAGCAGGAGTGGGCCGAGAGGGCAGGGCCGCTCTGGTCGGGCCTTCGGCTGCTGTCTAGGAAACGTCGTCCGTGGGGAAGCAGGGGAATCAGGAGACGTGGGGGCGGTCGCTGTTCTTGGTTTGAAATGTTCGGACCCTCCCGCATTGCGGGAAAGTGCCCTCCAGGTCCCACGGGGAGTGGTTCTAGGCCTTCTGCCCCGGGATCGTGAGAACAGCGCTTGCGTGGTGGTCACTGAGTCCTGAAGTGTGATGTGGGAAACCTCACGCCGTTCCCGCCCCGGGGCAGATGGGGGAGGCTGGGAAGCTTGGCCTCCGTCCCAGAAGTCGCTCCCTGTGCCTGATGCCTCAGCCGACGGCCCCTCCGCAAGTTCACTCTTGTGCACGAGGCGCTCCCGCCCCCACGGGGTCTGTCCTCCCCAGCCTGGGGTCCACGGCCTCTGTGTGCTCCTGGCGGTGGTCTCCCCTCTGGTCCGACCGTGTGGATGCCCTTCCTCTCAGCCCTGCCAGGCCTGCCTCCCAGCGCCCGCCCCTCTTGTGCCCCCGGCTCCCTTCTCGGGTCTTCCTGACGCCTTCTCACTTCCCCCCGGAGCTGGGGCCCCATTCCACGCCTTCTCTGTGTCCACTTCGGTGTTCTTGCCCTCGTTTGTGCTGCGGACTGCTTCCTGGAGATGCTTTTAAATTCCTAAAGCACACGGAATCGCAAGGGAAGCGGATTCTGATTGAAATGTGTATTTTAAACGATTGTGATAGAGCAGCGTGGGTTTCGTTGTTAACACGTCAGACGACAAGATCATAGACCTTTCAAGTCAAGTGACGCACGTGACCGATGTTTCAAGACGCCTGTTGATCATAATGTGAAGCGAAAACGCGCGGTTTCTCCTGGCGGCAGGCAAGAGATGCTGCTGGTGCCTCTGGGGTTCTCTGTCCATGTTTGTAGTTAGCTTTCAGGTCAGTGCAACGGTGAAAATCTTTCTTCCCAGCCGTGGTCGCAGGCCCCTCTGACTCCAGCCCCAGGTGGCTGTGGCTTTCCCGCGGCCGGCGGGGTTTGCCCGTGGACAGGCTGCTCTGACCTGGCCCTGCCCTCGAACCCCTGCCTGGGGCCTCCCTTCCTGGCTCAGACCTTCGTCTCGTCGCAGCTGCAGGGAGGGAGGGAGGGAGGGGGCTGTCATTTTGCAGACCCCTCCCCCCCGCGTCTTTGGGGCCGAACGGGGAAGCGAGCTGCGGACGGGGGCTGATGTTCAGTGGGTCTGCTGCCCAGCCTGGTGCTGAGCCTCCCGTGTCCGCAGGAGGGAGAAAGCCTGCGCTTGTGTTTTCCTGGCAGTGGACGGGGGTGTGCGTCTCTGGCCCTTGGAGCCGACTTACCAGCCTCTTCCTGTTTCCTCTGACCCAGGGCAAGCTGGCCTCGTTTTTCCTGTCCCGGGTGGATGCCCTGAGCCCTCAGCTCCAGCAGGTAAAGGGAAGAGAGGGAGGTGGTGAGCCTGGGGATCTGAGCTGGAGCTTCTGTTCTTTCGGCTTTTCTCTCTGTTCCCACCGTTGGACTGCGTTCCCTCTTCCCTCCCGTTCCCTGCACACAATCCACACAGCGCGACTTCTGCCTCCAGCTCCCGTCTGTGGCTCGCTGCCTCGATGTCCTTTCTGCTCCCCTCTGAGCTCTTTCTTGGCACGTGGGGGTTGGGGGGCTCTGGGGCTGGGCTGGAGTCCCGTCTGACCGCTTCCGACCTGCCTCCCGACCTTCCTCCTGCAGCTGGCCTGTGAGTGTTACTCCCGGCTGCCGTCGCTGGGGGCCGGCTTCTCCCAGGGCCTGAAGCACACGGAGAGCTGGCAGCAGGAGTTGCGTAGTCTCCTGGCCTCCCTGCACAGCCTGCTGGGGGCCCTGTACGAGGGCGCAGAGACGGGTAGGGGCAGCGGGGGGCGGGCAGCGGGGGGCGGGTGCTGGCCTCCCTGCGCAGCCTGCTGGGGGCCCTTACGAGGGCGCAGAGACGGGTAGGGGCGGGCGGCCGCGGAGGCCGGGCAGCGGATGTCCCAGCAGCCTGCGTCCCCTTCCACAAGGGAGGAGGAAGGGGGCGGACCAAGGGCCTGGGAGCGCGAAGTCCTTGTGTTTCCGTGCAGCCCCCGTGCAGTATGAGGGCCCCGGGGTGGAGGTGCTGCTCACGCCCGCGGAGGACGGGGACGCGCACGCCCTCCTCCGGCTCCGACAGCGCTTCTGTGGACTGGCCCGCTGTCTGGGGCTCATGCTCAGGTGCGCGAGCGCGTGCCGGAGGGCACGGGGGGGGGGGCCTGTGGCCAGGGCGGGGGCTGAGCTCGGGGTGTCGTCCTCATCGGGAAGGGGGTGGGGGGCTGGGTCATGTTGAGGAGCCCGCGCTGAGGATCTCTCTGCTCTCCCCCTCTTTAGCTCTGAGTTTGGGGCTCCCGTGTCCGTCCCTGTGCAGGAAATCCTGGACGTCATCTGCCGGACGCTCAGCATCAGCGCGAAGAACATCGTGAGTGGAGCTGGGGCTCTGTCCGCAGCCCGTCCTCGGGCCCCGGGCGGAGAGAGAGCAGCGTGGGAGGGGCGCTCCCACAGCAGTGTCCTCCCCGAGGCTGTCCGGCCAGCCCCGTCCCCCGTCCGGATGCCGCCGCTCCCTGTGCTTGTCCCCACACACATGCCCGTCGGAGCGCATTCGCTCACGGTTTTCGGGACCCGTCCAGCAGATGCTTCCCCCGGGGAGGGCGAACCCGGGGCTCCGCTGGGTCACCGTTGAGAGGTTCAGCCGTGCTCCCCGTCATCCTTTCTCACTGGTCTGTTTTAGAGGACGGGGTCTGTCTTGTTGGGCCAGCTGGGCATGGGGGCAGGCTCCTTCCTGCGTGTGCACGGGTCTCCGTGTTTCCCTTTTCCTCCTGCCGCCCCCTTACTCCTCCCGTATTTTCCTGCAGAGCTTGCTTGGAGACGGTCCCCTGCGGCTGCTACTTCTCCCCTCCATCCACCTGGACGCCTTGGACCTGCTCTCCGCACTCATCCTCGCGTGAGCGGGAGGGGACAGGGTGTAGTGAAGGGACGAGGATGGGCCGGGAACGGAGGTCACTCTTCTGTCTTCACCCTCAGGTGTGGAGGCCGCCTCTTGCGCTTCGGGGGCCTGGTTAGCCGCCTGCTTCCCCAGGTCCTCAATGCCTGGAACATGGGTAGGGATACCCTCTCTCCAGGCCAGGAGAGGCCTTACAGGTGACTGTGAAGGGGAGGGCACAGACCGCGGAGGGTGGGTTGGGGGCTCCGAGGAGGACCCGGCCTGCAGCGCCCCCCTCACGGGCTGCTCTCTGCTTCCCCCCCCCCGCAGCACCGTGCGGACCAAGGTGTACGCCGTGCTGGAGCTGTGGGTGCAGGTGTGTGGGGCCTCGGCGGGAGTGCTGCAGGGGGGCGCCTCGGGAGAGGCCCTGCTCTCCCACCTGCTCAGTGACATCGCCCCGCCGGCGGACGCTCTGAAGGTGAGCGGGGTACCCGCCCTGGCCGGAGCGAGCCTGCGGCACCAGACGCCACCTCCCGCTGCCGCCCGCCTCTGCCGGCCCGCCCGTGACCCAGGTCTCCCCCTCCCCCAGCTGCGCAGCCCGCGGGGGAGCCCGGACGGGGGGCTGCAGAGCGGGAAGCCCAGCGCTCCCAAGAAGCTGAAGCTGGATCTGGGGGAGGCCATGGCCCCGCCCAGCCACCGGAAGGGGGACAGCAACGCCAACAGTGACGTGTGCGCGGCCGCGCTGAGAGGTGGGAGGGGCCGCGCCCTGCAGCCCCGGGCGGGGGGGGCGGGGCAGGGGGGGTCACGGACAGGGGACCTGCCCCAGATCGGGCTCCCGGCCCTCCCGCTGGCCCTGCAGGCTCCCGTTCAGCTCCGCCTGCCGCGTTCCCTTGCGGCTCCGTCGGGGCTGCGCCGTGGGGCTTCTGCTCTCCCCGCGTGGCGCTCGGGGCCGTCCCCTCGGGGCTCGTGCGCTGCCATCCCCGGACCCGTGGGCGCACGTGTGCAGCGC